TCTGCTACTACTACTACTACTACTACTACTGCGACGACGACGACGACGACGACGACGACGACGACGACGACGACGACCACGACGACCGCGACGGCGGCTACGGTGGCGGCAGCGTAGACGTACTACCACTATACCATCACCATGACCACTAAGTAATAGTTACTACTAGCGGAAATCCAATCTCAAAGTAGACCGGCAAGGCGGCAACATGCCGAACCCATCCAAAATCCATGCTCGTAACCCTCCTCCAAAATCAGCAGCTAGCACGGTATCCCTAATATGAGCCCTGGACTAAATTGTAGTATATGCCTTACTAGGTCCCCCCTTTAAAAACCCTACGTATTCCCCTATAGGTCCGCCCAACCGAAATTTAGCTGGTATCCCATATCATTGGCCCCTGGGGCGATAGTCTTTGTAGGAGCCTTTGGGATTTCTGCGCCAGTTTGGGGCAGGGTATTCAGGTCCACCCTTGCACACACACCTTACTTTCGACCAACTCCTCTTAGTGTGGACCCCTGATTTACCAACGGCTCTCATATTGAAGTCGCTATTATAAGATAACCCTAAACCCTAAATCCTAAACCCATTTATTAAATGAGAGTAGTGTCCACATCCTAAGGCCAAACCACTTTCAATCAGGAACCTATACTCTGATAAGTGGTACGTAGTTAATCAGATTCCTGGTTCCCGCAATGGCCATCTTGTAGACCTACTGATCCCCCAAGACTTCCCCAAAGGACCTTTAGACAAGCCCTCATGTGAACTATAGTCTAAACTCCTAGTATCACCCTTAGTAAGCCCTATAATGCTCCCCTATACAAGCCCCTATATAACCCTTTTTAAGGAGTTTAGACTATAGCTCATGTGCATCAGGTGCCTTCGTCAGGTCGGGGCTCGCGCGACTGAGTTCCTCCATTGCGCTCTGCATCCTCCCGGGGCAAAGTACTCTGTGGATTTATCCGGCTTGTGGGACCGTTTTTGGGGGAGATGACCTACAAGAGCGCAGCGAGATCCAAACATCCCTTTTCGTGGCCAGGGCTGTGTCGCAAATTGAAAAAAATTGTGCAAAATTGCCCGGAACAATGTTACACTACCAATGCCCCAGCATGTGCTTGGTAGGTACAACCTCTTATCGATACTTGAACTCTTTCGGGCTGTATAAATGAACTAAGGTTAAGCGCGGCCTCCTTTGCTCTCAGTCAGCTTCATCATGGCCACTATTGTGTTGCAGCTGACGCCAGCCGAAACTTGCAGAAATACGGGAAACTTTTTCATGGAGACTCCCACAAATGGGGCCCCTAATTCCCGAAATGCTAAACCATTTTTTGCCAGTTTCCATGTCATTTTTCCGGGCTCCGTTCCATTTTGTTTACTATCCCTGAACCCTGAAACGTACATGGTAGCTTCCATGTTCTTTTCCAAAATCCCTATAGATCCCAGAGAAATAGCACCCAAACAAACTGCAAAACCCCCATCGAAATCCAAACCCTAAACGCAAACCCTGAACCATAAACCCAAATCCTAAGTCCTAACTCTACTTCGTTTAAACCTTAAACTCTACAAACCCTAAATCCAAACCCTTATCCTAAATCCTAAACTCTACTTGGTTTAAACCCTAATTAAACTCGAAACCCCAAGCCCAAGTATAAGTCACGCCCCAAGTCTCAGCCCCAGGCTGTTGCAGGATGTACTCTTTTCCTGGCTTGCCAGTATGGGGATTAATGGTACCTTTAGGAGGGTATAGGGGTTATGTAGGGGTTACATTGGGATATATGAGGATTTGAGGGCTTAGGGGTTTCCGAAATTAGGGGCACCCTTTTGTGAGTCCATATAACAAGGACTATGTTTTGAGGTCCATATTGGGGTCCCAATTTTTTGGGAAACGTCCTATTTGCAAAATGCAGGAGGCCCCTTGCAACTTGTACCTGGGCTCCCAGAGTATGTACAATCACATGGACAAGAGTGACTTGATTTAAGGCTTCCGAGCGCTAAGCCCGAAAGCCGAAACATTATCATTATCTTACCTACCTTGGGGCCTTGGGGGTTTAGGTGGTGCTCTCTGCCTTCAGGGCGTGGTCTAGCTTTCTGACTTTACAAACTGTCTCTTGATTCCGACAAGAGTCCTTCAAATGCCCTGTTATCATCCTTGACGCATGGTGGTTGTTGTTGTTGTTGTTGCCTTTTCGGCAGCTGTCTCTTTTATTTCATGCCCACGAACATGACAACTGACAACTACTTAACTTCTCCATCTGGGTTCCATGGACTGCCAGAACAACTACTAAATTACCACAACTACTCGCATTCTAGACAAAATGATTTGGTTTTTGGTAGCATACAGAACACTCAAGGAGGCCCCTGGAAATGCCCATGCTTGTCATAATCATCCTTTCAGGGTATACTCTACATGACCCCCATCTCTCCTCGCCAAAAACCAGGGCGAAAAAAAGTTTAAACTTCATCCATTATTAGAGACCCTAAACCCTAAACCCCTTCCTTTGGCTAAGTGAGCCATAGCTGTCAAGGACATTGACGTCAGCTCAGGAATCTGCCTTGCCGGCTGCACTTGGCACCAAGGTTATGCTTCAAATCGAAGGGATCTTCTATGTACCTGTGCTGGCTCAGAATCCCATGGCAGGAGCCAAAATCATTAGAATGGGCATTGGGCTCATGCTAGCCTACAAGTACTTGGGAACTGTGAAGGGATAACATTGGTGCTTACTCAGGATTCTACACTAGGCTGTGGGCGTGGGGTTTAGGGTTCAGGCGGTTCAGGGTACTTTTTGCTGCACTTTATCTAGGCAGGCGCCGACATGAATGCTAATACGCAATAACAAGAACATGTTAGGGACAGTAGCGAAATAAACTACGCAATGATCGGGGTAGCTGTTATTCTCGTATGTTATCCTGAGTTCATGCCAGCCTGTCATCTGGATACTGCCCCCAACTCAGGCAAAACTGTAATTTTACCATGAGTGTATAGAGGCCTTCTTAATACTAGCTCCTATGACAGACAGAGGCAGTAGCCAACGCATCATGATCAAAGGGTCGTCAGCTTGGACCTAGGGTTTAGGGTTTAGGGTTTGGGAAATCATCCAGTCTCTGCTCAAAGGCTTGCTGCACTGCAGAGCTTCAGGTTTAGTGTGGAGGCCTGAAAATGTATTAAGGGGTGAGGTGTCTTACTGGGGCCTAGGAGTTTGCGCAGCCTTGCTGGGAATAAGCAATGCCTCCCCAAAAGGCTACCACACCATGCTGCACGATGTTTGAGTATGGAGTCATAGAGTTCAGCTTTTGTTTTGAAGAAATTCAGAATTACACCTGACATCTCAAATTCAATCAGTTCTCATATCAACGTTTGCAGAAAACTTCACGTAGCCCTGGATGCAGAAAACAGGGTGTGACCTTCAGGCTTAGTTTCAACCGCGAAAGTGAAGCCCCTAACTTTTACAAACCCATTCATTATGTAATGCAGGAGTCTAAGAAACTAGCAAGGTGTGTTGATGGGCACATCATACTACACTGCTGCCGGGTACAAATGAACACTTTCAGAAGATCAACTCTAAACAAGACAAGACCAGTGGAAGCATCCTGTACTGTAGGAGTTCATTGCATGCCATGTACCAAATGCACAACGCCCGGGATACATGGGCAAAACGAAAGGTATCCAGGCGAGGGCAGAAGAAGATGGAAACTACTACAGTATTAACGTAAGGTTCAAGGCAACCCCCAACCCCTAATACTAAAACACCGCAATATGGTACCCCTATACTAAGGGCATCTAAGGGCACCCCATCATACAGCGCTGCTGGCTGAAAGTGACCAAGCCTCATGAAAATCTACAGAAACCACCTCATACAACACCCTGAAGCCTGAATCTCAAACCCATGACCCTAAGCCCCAAACCTCAGAGCCTGAACCCCCCCAAACCCTAAACCCGTAAACCCTTAACCCTAAGCACCACTGCTCCGGGTAGGAGTTCGTATGGAGATGGTACTTGTTGACAGGGTTGCTGGCACCTCGCTTTGGCTGGATCAAAGGCTGGGAATGAAAAAGAACATGGGTTGAGAGTTTAGGGAAAGTGAAATGGAACTAGGGTTAGAACGGTGTGTATACGTACATGTATACATATCTATATGTGTATGTGCACATATAAAGCAAATGGAAAATACTTTATGAGGGAAATTCGGAATTATATGGCGACTACTTTAAGGATTCATTCCTTCAATGCTGGCTATAGTAACCCTTATGGGGGTGCATGAGGACACCAATTTGGGGGGCGGCTGGAGCGTTCCATGAATGAGGCGCAAAAGAGACTCGAGCACACTCTCGGTTTGGGCCCCACCCACTCATAGCCACCACACCACAAAGAATCGCAAAACAAACAAATATATATATATATATACACCACATATTCCTACCATACCAGCACTTGTGGGTCAGGGCCCAACCTGAAAATTATAATAAAATGCTTAGCAATAATTCTAAACCTATGCCCATAGCAATAATATCGTAGGGACTCGCAAAAGGAAACTCCAATAGGAGCTTCTTCTCAGCCTGCATGCAGAGACATCATTCGAATTCCTGAAAATACTCTCTAAACCCTTCCCCTACGAACAAACCCATCACACAGCCTGATAACCCCCCGCAATATAATAGGTCTTAGGTCCAATAAGATATCTGACACTGAACCCTCAACCCTAGAAATAGCATTGCCCTGTGCCGCCGGGGTGCGGATGCACACAGCACTCTGTGTCCAGTCAAACTCTTCACCTCTGTGTTTGGAAGCATGGCTCTGTGACTACACTGGGGTTGCTATGTTGTCCTAGCTTTGAGTCGTGTGTGACCAGATAATCCTTGCAGTGAGAATCAGTGCCTGTGGGGTGACCTACACGGGCCTGCCAACGCCTACAGCTTTACGACACTTACTTCAGGTAGCAATGCCATCCCACTAATAATCCACCCCCACCTCCGCCCAACAGCAGACATCCCCCCAAGATATGATGGTTGCATGCAGTTACATGCTGGTACTATATTGGGGGATGATTTTCGCTGTTGTTGTTATTTGTTGTTATAGGGCTGAATACCCCCAAGAAATCCTCTGCTTCCAATCGGAGATGCTACTATGCTGGGAAGATAGCAGGATTCAACATGCAATTCTGAGTTCGCACGACAACCGTGCCGCCGCTAAAGTCTATCTGCCTCATCCAAGGACAAACGCTTCATTTGCGGCGAAGCTTCTGTAAAACTTGAAGAAGCCATAGAGTAGCTCGGGAACGCCTTTGCTGCAAGGGGGCGTTCCGCTGCACGTCGCCCGGAAACTGGGGGATGTCTCAGCCCGAGATCTTTTGCTTTCCCCACTACTATAGTATATTGGGGTTATATTGGGGTTATATTGGAGTTATATTGGGGTTATATTGGGGTAGGGCTTACGCCTTTTCAGTCCGATTTTGCGTCATTAGAGATCAGCGTTGGCAAGCCTACATGCCGGATGCAGACCAAGGAATATCCAACTAGGTTCTGTTGATCTTGCCTGACCCGAGTAATGAAAGGAGTAGCACGGTCTTTTGAAGGGCGAGCGTGTGAGTCAGACAGGAGAAGCAAACAAAGAGGAAGACAATCTGAGAATCCTACGTGTTGGATCCCTAAGCTCTACAACAAGATCCTGTCATTGATGCTGTGGACAACGCAGAACCAACCACAATCTGTGCTTCCCTGTCAGAACCCAAAGCCCCCAGGGACGTCCTTATACCCTAGTATAAAATATTAGCTTCCATGTTTTCCATTATCCATATTTTTCCCTGTTTTTACACCATAATCCCTATGAATCCCTATTTATCCTGCCAGCAGAGGTGCTGCTCTTGTTCTCCGAGGGAGGGAGCTGCTCGATCTGCCATGTGATATGTGTCACAAATATGGCGCCCCGACGTTTCAACACCTCGTTATCTATCTAAGAACCCTGACTGTTTACACATTTCTCTGTAGGTGGCAGGTGGTGCAGGTGCACCGTGTGTCAGCAGGGGGATCTTCCACCAAGAGAGCGAGGGTGCCTGAATTGGACAGCTAGTGCGACCTCATGCTCTGGTGGAGGGATCGAAAAGTAGAGCTACCCTCTAAACCCTAGGGGATTATATATGGGTTTATATTGGGGTTATATAGGGATAATGGAAAATAAAATGGAAACTACTATATATTGGGGTAATATACTGTAGGCCCTAAAGCAAAAGCAGGGTTGAACTTGCAAGCCAATGGGGGCCCCACCTAAACCCAACAAGACTGCCATCCGGCTGGTGAAGCCGAGCAATGGCCATGCCTTGTCGAAAAACTTTGTCTCCCAAACATCGTTGGACTTAGCGCCACGGCAGGGCTACTTTCAACGGATGCTTGAAAACTTGGACCCATGTGATACAAGACCTCAGCCATGTTGATATCAGCTCAACTGCAGCGAAGTACATGCTTAGTTGCTGCCTGTGATGCTAGCAACTCACAGATACTCACACTGTTCAGTCGGGCCGCGGCCCTTTTGGTGTCCGGGACAGGATGCGAATCCGCTTCCCTCAGAGGCGGGAAAGTTGGAGTCGCAAGCTTTGGTTCAGGCTGGTGCCTGGACGCATGCCTTTGCGAAACGTATATTGGGATTACATAGGGATCCGCCGACCCCGCTCTGCGGGT